AGTGGGGGGGGCGGAGAGGGGGGGGCAAATGACGACTATTTACAGTTCGCTCGACCAGGGGTCTCAAAGGTCATTGCATCACAACCCCCTTCTTACAACAAAAATTACTGCATGACCCCAGGTGCGGCGACTGGAGCCTGAGCTCACCCAAGTCCTGGTGAGAGGGCCAAAGGCTGCCCCAGGCAGGGGGGCGCATGAATGTCAAAGCCTGGGGCCGACGCCCCAGGGGGTGGAGCTTGGGCGTCAGCCCCAGTAAGTCTAAAAGCCAGCCCTGGCGACCCCCTGAAACCAGGGTTGTGACCCCCCGTTTGAGAAGGGCTGCGTTAGACCCGGCAGCAGGCAAGGCGCGGGATAGATGAGCAGCATTCCTGCGAAGAGCAAGTACAGGGAAGGCCAGGCCCAGCTTCCGCGGCAAAGGCTGATTGCAGGGACCAGCTGCCCTGCTACCCCGTCCCTTACATGGGGACAGCCCTAGGCCCTCAAGGATTCAGCAGCAGCACTGGCCCCTGCGGCTGGCTCAGGGCAGCTTTGGCATCAAGAACAGCCGCAGGTTGTGCCCTTTGCCTCCAAGTGTCCAGGGGGGTGCGTTCTGCTTGAGGAGCTCGGGCTGAGCTGGGGGGGCTCCCCTGCCACAGCCACCCCAGCACAGCCCCAGCCCCAGCCTTGTGCTGCAGGCTTTTCCACGAAGGAGGAAGCCAGAGAGGAGAGATTCGTCTCTACACCGGCTCAGGCCTGGACTCTCTCGGGCCTGGCAGGAAGCAGAGAGCGCCCGAGCGGTGCGGTGCCAGAGACACCATGTGCATTTGGGGACCAAACAAGGGCAATGCCAGAGCTTAGGGGGAAGTCAATGCTCCACCTCCTGAGACTCTGCCCATGCCACTCAAATCCCATCCATCGCTCCCCTCGGCCCCCTTGCTCAGCTCTGGTGGCAGCAAACTGGGCGCGGCTGCTGCAGTGGGAGAAGGAGCCCAGCCCAGAACGGCACCACTAGGGGCTGGGGCTGGGAGCCCAGGCCAGAGGGGGAAGACAGCGGTACAACCCCCTCATGCCGAAGGCAGGAACGGGGGGGGGGTTGTGCCATTGAGAAATGCCTTCCCTACCTGAGGAAACCCCAGAGCTCCCAAGCTCTCCCTGTGCTAGCCCCTCAGGCCCCCAGCCTTCCCAGCACTGGGAACAGACTTCAGGAGACCCCACTCCTCCCCCCGGAGACAGACCAGCGAGCAGTGGCCACCCCAACCTATGCAGGCAGGACAGCTGGGTCTGCTGCCCGCAGCTGGACGACCAGGAGAGCCACCTCGCAAGATTTTTTTTTAAAAAGAAAATAAACCAAACTACTCCTACTAAAAGAAAAAGACGCCGCCGAGCGCAGTCCAGTCCCCCTCCCAAGCCCTGGGCAGCATGCGGTTCTTGGATGGTCTCACTACCTGGTTTTTTTCCTCGTCCGGTTTATTTTAAACACATCACGATGTGTAGGAATCTCTAAATATACCGCAAATATAAACAAAACAAAAAAAAAAACAAAGAGGAAAATATATATATATGTATATCTAGAACAGTAGTCTAAAACATAAAGTGCACAGCCATGGCTTTACACAATTCTACTCAGCGAGGGTGGGCAGGGGGGAGACCTCCACCCAGGCCCTCCCCCACCCACCTCACCCTCCAGATCCCAAATTAAAACAGAGGTGGTGTCTTGATTGGCAAAGAGTTGATGCAGAGGAGGGGCCAGCATGGGCGTAGCTGGGGAGAGAGATGGGGGGGCGGTCGAGGGCTCCTGCCAGCTTCGGGGGCCTGGCGCCGCTGAGAGAGGGTTTGGGAGGGGGAGGGGCGGGCGGTTCTGTTTTCCTCCAGGGTTTCTCTTTTTGGATTGCAAGCATAGTCCGCTCCCAGGAGAGACGGAGCTGGGGCGAGGAGGACGGGGCGTAGGCTGGCCCAGGCTCCAAGACAGACTCTGGGGAAGAGAGGAGAGACGACAATGTTAGAGGTGGATGGTACATGGGCAGCAGGCTGGTGGCACATGTCTGATTTTCCCCCAGAGCGGCTCCGGCCTGGTTCCAAGCCCAGGGGGAATGGCACAGCTGGTGACTGGGGGCTCCGGCTGACTACAGCGGGGAGCCTGGTGTGGGTTACACACACAGGGGTAAAGTGCCAGGCTAAGTCAGCAGCCACCCCGAGGCCTGGGCTTCACCCTAACGCTCTCCCATCACCCAGGCGAGAGAGGGAGGAAGGGTCTTGGGTGGGAATTCCCAACAGCAGCAGCCTCCCATCCTACACCAGCCCCTGCAGCCCCCACTTATCCAGCACGTCTTGGCATAGGCAAAGCCCAGCTGTTAACACACAGGCACCACGGAGCCTTCAAAGGAACGCGGACACAGCAAAGAAAAAACGGTGGCGCTGGGGTCTCTGGCTCACGCCGTGTAGCTGTCTGGGCTGAAAGCCTGGATCTGAGCGTCCCACTGCCTATACTGCTGGGTTTAACCCTGCAGCCCCAGCCAGATTCGGCGTGCAGTGCAGGTACCCCTAGACACTCCTTCCAGAGGCCGGCTCTCACTAAGACGCCCCCGCAGTGCCGAGGGTGAGCCCCACACAGAGCCCCAGGGACGGGGGTGGGTGGGTGATCAGGGGACCACAGCTAGGGCAGCCCCCCCTCCAGGCCAGGGCAGGAGCCCCTGCCCCCAGCCCTATAAAATATCCTGTGCTTCCATCACACCTTTCAGCCGTCAGTCTCTCCCAGCACTTCAAGGTGGTCAGTCTCACTAACCCCCCTGGGGACACTGAGGCACAGAAAGGAGAAGTGACATGCCCAGGGTCGCCCAACAGGCCAGTGGTAGAGTTGGGACTAGCACCCAGGCACCCTGACTCTGTGGCATGAGCACGGGCTCTGTGCCTGTTCTGTAAAACAGGGCTAGCGGGGTTTTCTGCCTCACAGCTAGGGGGTTAAATCAGATGGGGGAGGGTCGGGTCTAATTATGACACAGAATTAGATTTTGTTAAAAAAAAAAAAAAAAAAAAAAGACTATGAACCCCCCAGTGCTGAGAAACGTCCCTGTTCAAACCACCAGCAGAAGACACTCTTCCACCCGCCCCCGGCAGCGCCAGCCTGCAGGAGAACCAGAGCAAGGCAGGGTAGGAGCCTGACCACGTGGTTAATGAGCCCTCGGTTCGATTCTGCCACCAACTCTCCCTGTGACCACAGGCACCTCCCTGGCCTCAGCTGCACAATGGGGATAACCAACCTTCCTTCCTCTCATTAGCTGCCTTGTCTATGGAGATTATAGGCAGGGAAGGGGCAGTGCCTGGCACGCCAGGAGCCCCCATCCTAGAGGGGGCACTAGGCCCCTCCCCAATCACACTGATCCAACTCACTGCTCTAGTCTCCTCCAACATGAGTAGCAGGAAAACGAGTTCAAAAAGCTCCATTAAGGGCAAGGAACAGATGAGTTGGTTTGTTTCGTTTTTAAATGTTTCCAGGTGTTAACCGAAGGGGAAGGACAGTGGCCGCCAATCTGATTGTAACCTGCCCGAGCCCCTTTGATTAACCCTGGGGAATTATGCTTTGAGATCTGACTGCAAGGAGCTAGCCAGGCTGGAGGGTCAATCTCCAGCATGGGGGTGGAGGGAGGGAAAGGCTCCAGCACTAGGACGCTGGGCAGGAGGGAGAGGAAAGCCAGCCGAGATTTCTCCCCACAGTGCTAGTTCCCCGCCAGGTGACTCACTCCCAGCCATGAATTAAACATTAAAGTCGCCACATGGGCCTGGTACGTCGGCCTGCCAGCTGCAGGGGGAGGAACGGGCGTTTATTCCTGGCTTTTTTCACCCCCCAAAGCTGGTCAGGAGGCAGATACCAGCAGCCCGGCCCCATGGAGCGCGTGTGACGAGAGCGACTCAGCGCTGCCTACGCTTGTGTATTGGAGCTGCCAGAGTGGGTGGAGGGCAGGCAGGGCTCCGCAGCTCTGCGAGGACCACAGCCAGGAAGCATCAGCTGGCTGAGATGGGCAGTGGGATGGCACGGCCGCCAGCCCATGCGCCCACCGCCTGGGATTAGAGATACAAACCCCGGTGCTAAAGCCGCTTTCCCGGAGGCATCATGCCCCGGCCGTTTCAGGGGAGCACCAGCTCCCCTTGCTCAAGCAAGTCCTGCTCCACTCGGCCCCGACCCCTTCGAACTGCCTCAAATCCTATTCAGGAGAGGCAGCGACATGGGAACTTGTGGCTTAGGGTGTGAGCATGTGGTAATGGGAGCTGGCCTTGGGGTGGGGATAGGGGTTTAGCATGGTGGGACCTTAACCTGAGCCCAGGGGGAGGCATGGGGCAAATTCTGTGCTTATGCCAGCGGCTCTGGCCTGGCGTCTCAGCCGTAGGGCAAGGCTTCTTCTGACGCACCAGCTCTGCCGAAGCGGCCCTGCGGAACAGAGGCAAGGCCATGGGGGTGAGAGCTGAGGGTCAGGGCAACGCCCACTCCCTCCCCACAGCCACACGGCAGCAGCTGCAGCCCCTCTCGGCTCAGCCAGACGCTGCCGGGGACGTGTGCATTTGGCACGGTTTCCAGAGGGCAGCTCGGTGCTCAAGGCCCACGGAAAGCCGAGGGGAGTTGGGGACCACGTGTCTCTTTGGCATTCTGCCCCCGTCCCCTTCTGCAGCAGATGGTGGGGCTGCAGAAAGCAGGGGATCCATCACCCACCTTGCCTGAGCAGAGGAGCAGCTGGGGGATGGAGCCCTGGGCCAGGAGGGCTCAGCGGGGCCCCCTTGCTACACCAGCCACAGGGAGGGGGATTGACTTAACCCCTTCCTGGAAGGGGAACGTCCTGGAGGCAACAGGCAGACTCAGCCCATTCTCCTAGCATCCTGAGGGCACTGCCCATATGCCAGGGCTACACAGGGTGTGGGGACAGTGGAGGTTCTCCAGGGGTGAATACGATGGGCCTTCCACTGTCCCCCAGGGTTTCCTGTGCACCTCGGGCAGCGCCGCTCTGCAGTTGCCTTGCTGAGTCCCATTCACCCTGGGCCTGCTAATCGCAGCTAGCTGAACTGGCCACTTCCTCAGGAAGCAAGGGGGGGGTGGCAGCTGGGGGTGTGCGCGTGGTTGGGATTCAGGTCACGGGAACCTGAAAGGGTGTTTTGCTCGAGTTTGACCCACTGCTCCTAACCCAGGAGCCAGCAGGAGGGAGCAGGACAGGCAGGCTGGTGCATTTCAGGTATTTAAAAGGGTGTCATAAGGAGGAGGGAGAAAACTTGTTC